TAATATTATTATTAATAACTTATTCAATTATTATGTCAGCAATCAAAATGTTTCCTTTTAGTTACTTAGAACTGCAGCAGTGTAACACCTACATGTGTAGCATTCAGCACTGAGCACAGGATCTGGGAGTTTTGGAATACAATCATTTCTAGTCTTCATGAGATGCAACCAGAGTGTTTCAAACATATTGTGCAACATGCAGGAGTGGAATGTTGCAACCATATATAATGGAGTGCAAATGTACTCGGATACCTCAGGGTCTGCCATCACATTTTCATTGTTTTCGCACAGTGTGCTGTTGCATGCAGCCTCACTTTACATTAAAACTAATAAACTCTACTTGGTCTGAAAGTGGCTTTAATGCTTCTACTGTATATGGTTTGATTGTCAGAGCTTAGAATGATTTTGGTTTTGTGCCTGTGGGTTTTTCTCACAACGTGTGGTAGAATTTGATTTAACTGCACTCTCCTAGTGGGGGTCGTCTATTAATTCACCTTGCTGTTTGCAGTCCTGTGTCTCCAAAGTCTGTTTAAATAATATTTTAAAATGTACATTATTATTTGTTGAGCTGTTTTATAATTTAGTTTATATCACCCCTTTTAGAAATTGTTTCGTTCAACTTTTTTCTTTTTTAAGATGCAAAGCACCATTAGGTATATATTGTTAGTAAAGTTGGTTTAACTGCATATGTATAATGCCAGAAAACTACAGAATGGCATGGGTATGGTTATATTTTGCCAGCCACTGATAAATGACCACAACTATTTGTTGCTGCTTACAGAGATTGTGACTGTTCTGGGAATTAAAAGCCAAAGCTTTCCTTGCCTCAGGCAAAAATGCTGTCTGTGCTGGGTTGCTGCCTTAAATGTTCTTGAAAAACTGTGATACTGACCAGCTCTCTGATTTTCTGACTGCTTTGTTAACTGTTGTCATGGAAACACATGAACTGACCTAGCATTTTGTCTCTCTGTAAATGAGATTGAAATTATTTCTGTGCAGTCAGGGCTGTTAACACATACAGGTTGCCGTTTCGCAGCAAGTGAGTGGTTTTTCACATTTGAGAGGGGAACTGAGTAATTTCAGTAGGATTTAGCAAGTCTGTTTTGCTTGAGAGAAGTACAGTTTTAAAGATCAGACCTGCCCCCTGCACCCAAATTGGAGGTAATGTAGGCCAAACTGGTTTTGAAATTCCTTCTTGGCAGAGGAGCAAAGCAAGATTTTTCATTGTTTTTTTAAAAAGAACCTTTAGAACTTGTGTACATTTTGAAGAGCTTCTGGTTTGTCTGTTATACTGTATTTAAGTTATTTGCTTTTACCCTAAGATTCCTTTCTAACCTCCTTCCAGGGCCTAATGAATTTTCTATAGAAAACTAAACAATTAACTTTATTATAGAATTCTTGTCTTTCCATTCGAGAGAAAATAAACGTCTGCTTGCTATGTGTGAGAGTTGACTGCGTGTGCACCAGAGGGGTGAACTGAAATCAGATAGTCTTTTTTCTTATAGGAAAATTTGAAATATATGAAAATAAGAAAAAAAAAATTTCAATAGGATTCTTTTGGAAGAGTGATACTTTTCTCCCATCTTCAGTTTTTTGGATATATTTGGCTGATGATATTGTATTGCACATTTCAAGAATTGTATTCCATAACTGAGTCAAATTAAAGGTATTAAGAAGGCACATTCCATGGGGTAAACTCTAGCACTTTTGTCATTTCAAGTGGAAGCAGATGTAAGTAGAGTCATAATGAGGTGGTTCTTATAATCCTAACCCCAGACTGGGCTGAAATGCATGCTCATTTAAAAACCATTTTAACGGCTTTCTTCAAGTAAATGAAAATTTGCCTGGAGAACATACATTAATGAAGGCCATACATTTACAAGTGTTTTTTATGAATGGGTTTGATTGTTTAGGTTAATTTTTTTTTTTGCTTTAAGGAACATTTTCATGTCTGATGAATGGAGTTCTTCAGAGACAGATTGCAGAATCGCTCGGTTTAAACCCCAGAGAGGGTTAGGGTTAGGACTCTCACGATACTTAGACATTTTTTAACCTCATGGCTGTATTTTGGGGGCCAAGGGAACTTTAGGAAGTGTGATATTTTTCTCCCATCATCATTTTTTTCAGATATACTGCAAGTGTTCAGCTCCACAGTCACTGAACATCAACGTCTTTGCTGAGGTTGAGACATACACTTTTACTCCTCCAGTAGAGGGTGACAATTAACTGGAGACACAGGAGCAGCTACAGAAGTTTGCTTACAGAGGGATATCGAGATATACAAGACAGTACTGACCGCTGTTCAAGAGAGACTTTATGCAACACAGTAGCCTATGCATTTCCAGAATAATATTCTGAGGTTACTACAGAGCACTCTTTAAATGCCTGTATCCTGTTGTTGATAAGAAAACACATCTTTTTTCTAAGCTTTCAAAACTATATTGGTAACATTCAGGAACAGTGTGACAGCAGCTCAGCTTGTGCAGACCTGTCTGGGCCCTGTCCAATGTTTCCTTGTCTAAATATTTTTGAAGGAAGACTTAAATTTGCTGGGGCCATAAACAGAACTAGCTGTCGCTTGCAGAACAGAGTGTGTTTTGTTAGGTTTTTCTATGGCTCTTGTCTCCACAGAACATCTAAAAGTCAAAGATGCACAAGGGAGCATTACTATTATGTTAAGCTATTATTTAATTTTTCACAGCCTGGCTTTTTAGTTTAATATTTAAATCAAGCTGTTCCCTGCTGAACTGAAAAGACTGATGAAGTCTTGGCTCAATTCAGCATCCCCTTTAGAGCTTAGGACCATTTACAATCAAAGCTCTCTTTCATTCTTGAGAACTCCAATCTTGGCGAGTAAAACTCGGTACAGCATGCATTTTTAAAAATCTTGCGCAGATAAAAACATTAGCCTACTCTTTTTATTTAAATCGTGCTTGCCTAGTGATGTCTGCATTTATGTAGTATATGTAATCATTAATAATAATAATTGCTTACACTTATATAGCGCTTTGCTGGACACTCCACTCAAAGCACTTTACAGGTAATGGGGACTCCCCTCCACCACCACCAATGTGCAGCATCCACCTGTATGTACAATACAAAGTAATTTGTTTTGATAGATATTGAAATACTTATTAGACACATCTAGATGTTATTTATTATAGGTACTTTTCAGAACATTTGCTCACAAAATACCAGGCTGTAACATTATATTTATATAAATAGTGTTTTTATTTCTCAATGTTGTGTAGAATGGGTAGACCTAGGTTTGTAAAGCCTTTGGACAGCAGCAGTGAATGTCATGTTATGGCTGAATGCACATTGTCACATGGGAGGTACTTCAGATTTTCCATATCTGAGTATTTATGCCAAATGGTTTTTAAGGCCTGCCTGGATGTTTGAAGCAATTTTAATTTGAAGCAATTTTAATACTCAGTACGTGCATACAAGTTAAAGCTTGGCTAACAAGAAATATGGATTTCTAAGAGCAGCACAATGATAGAAGGTATGGGCGTATTAAGCTCAGTTTATTGAGACTACACATTAACTTTGAACTTCCATCTACAATTACATAACAAACATAATTCAAGTTGAAGTATGTTATAGCTGCGCAAATCATTATCCCTGTGGTTAAAAAACAATAAAATTAAAATATTGCAAAACATTTCCAATGCAATAAACAATAAAGACAGGACAAATATTTTAGTAAACAGTTTGTTTATGATGGAGAAAGGGGATGTTTTATTTTACAGTTTAAAGTCCTAAGGTTTATGTAAGTGCTCTGTAATCCTGCCTTGAGCGTTTTGTGATCCGTGTGCCAGTGTGTTGATTACAAGTACGTGTCGGTGACGAGAGAAACTCCAGCTTTATGCTACATTACAGACCTTACTGACAACCCATTTCAATCTGTCTCGGAGTATAAGTCCGGTCAGCTCTGTCTCTCAGCATGATTTTAAGAGAACGACTGTGTGTAAGGTCAATCAAAAAGTATTTCAAATAATTTAACACCATTCTGTCTAATAGAAAATCAAAAGCTTAGGGGAAAAAAAAAATCTACCAATAAAGTAAAAAGTGAGACCTTGCTGTTTTTGAGAATCTGAAAATCTGTTCAGCATGATGATACCACATCTAAAAGGCCATCACAAAGTGTCACG